CATAAAAAGACAGAGTGAAACAAACTTCCAGCCTAAGATAACCTGGATGATTGATCAGAGAGGTATATCACGCTGGGGTGGGAGAGGAGCGCAGTTCAGCTTGGGCACGCAGGCTGCAACGAACCTGGAGCAGGCCTTAGAGGACTGAATCTCGGGCAGCTGTGGCAGTTTCCAGACTTCTCAACCCATGAATGCCAAAGACAACTTAGAAGGTCAGTGGGAAAAGTCTGTTTCTGAGGTGAGAGAGAAGCTAGGTCCCAGACCCAATTCCTGAGCACATCACTGGGGCGGCAGCTGCTTCCTGAGCTTCTGACCCACAGACTGAGGGGGAATCGAGTGGCTGATCAGACGGGCGGATTGCAGGGATCTTTTTGCTTGTGCAAGATTCTCTTGCTTTGCCCGAGCTTGGATCTGGGTCACAGTTCTGTGTGGCGGTCCTGGGGCGAGGAGGAGCTCTGGCATGGTGGGGCTTGTAGTGGCTGTGGAGAGGAAATTCTCCTCACAGTTTCAAGACAGAAATGAGTGCTTGTGGTCACTCATAGATCAGAGGACAGGCCAGGAAAGGAATAAACACCTCACCCTTGATCATAGCACCTTGGAAGAACTGAAAATTTACAGGTCCCCTAGAAGTATCTCTGAAAACAGCTGCACAAAACCCCTGAAGCTTGGGACAGTACGTTCTCCACACTGGAAACAGACTCCTACCTTAACAAAGAGTTTTTAACTCAAGTAGTTGGCCAAGATCATGAGCAAGCAGTGCAAAAAGAGTCAGACTATATTATCTTACTTTGGTGACAAAGATGAACAAAACACACAACCAGAAGAAGACAGCAAAGTCAAAGCTCCTACATCCAAAGCCTCTAAGAAAAATATGAATTGGTCCCAGGCCAGGGAAGAGCTCAAAAAGGATTTTGAGAAGCAAGTAAGAGAAGTAGAGGAAAAACTGAGAGTGATGCTAAAGGAGACCCAAAAAAATACTGAAGAAAATAACACCTTAAAAAATAGCCTAACACAAATGGCAAAAGAGGTCCAAAAAGCCAATGAGGAGAAGAATGCCCTAAAAAGCAAAATTGGCCAAATGGAAAAGGAAGTCCAAAAGCTTACTGAAGAAAATACTTCCTTAAAAATTAGAATAGAGCAATTGGAGGCTGGAGACTTTCTGAGAAATCAAGACACTGTAAAACTAATCCAAAAGAATGAAAAAATAGAAGAGAATGTGAAATATCTCATTGGAAAAACAACTGACCTGGAAAACAGATCCAGGAGAGAGAATTTAAAAATTATTGGACTGTCTGAGAGCCATGATCACAAAAAGAGCCTAGACATCATTTTTCAAGAAATTATCAAGGAAAACTGCCCTGATATTTTAAAAGCAGAGGGCAAAATAGAAATTGAAAGAATCTATTGATCTCCCCTCCTGAAAGTTTCCCAAAGGAAAACTCCTAGGAATATTGTAGCCAAATTCCAGAATTCCCAGGTCAAGGAGAAAATATTGCAGGCAGACAGAAAGAAACAATTCAAGTATTGTGGAAACACAATAAGGATAACACAAGATTTAGCAGCTTCTACATTAAGGGTCCGGAGGGCATGGAGTATGATATTCCAGAGCACAAAGGAGATAGGACTGCAACCAAGAATCACCTACCCAGCAAAACTGAGTATAATCCTTCAGAGGAAAAAATGGTCATTCAATGAAATAGGGGACTTTCAAGCATATTCCTGAGGAAAAGACCAGAGCTGAATATAAAATTTGACTTTCAAATACAAGACTCAAGTGAAACATGGAAGAGGTAAATGGGAAAGAGAAATCATAAGAGACTTATTAAGGTTGAACTGTTTACATTCCTACAAGGAAAGATGATATTTGTAATTCATGAGTCCTTTGTCAGTATTAGGGTAGTGGGAGGGAAAAAATTATATGTATGTATGTATAGATAGATAGATAGATAGAGGGCACAGGGTGAGTTAAAGATGAAGGGATAATATCTGGAAAATAAAATTAAGGGGTGAGAGAGGATTATACTGGGAGAAGGAGAAAGGAAGAAGTAGAATGGGATAAATTACTTCACATGAAACAGATAAGAAAAGACTTTTACAGTGGAGGGGAAATGGGGGAAGGTGAGAGGGAATGAGTGAATCTTATTCCCATAGGATTTGGCTTAAGGAGGGAATAACACACACAATGGCGTATGGAAATCTATCTTACCCTACAGGAAAATAAGGGGGGAAGGGGACAAGAGAGCAGGGGGTTGATAGAGGGGACAGCAGATTCCGGGAGGGGATAATCAAAAGCAAACACTTATGAGGAGGGACAGGGTCAAAAGAGAATACAATAAATGGGGGGTAGGACAGGATGAAGGGAAATATACTTAGTTTTTCACAACAGGACTACTATGGAAGTGTTTTGCATGACTACACATCTATAACCTGTATCGAGATGCTTGCTTTTTCAATGAGGGTGGGTAGGGAAGAAGGAAGGGAGAAAATTTGTAACCTAAAGTTTTAAAAACACATGTTAAAAATAAAAATAAAAATAAAAATAAAATAAATAAAATAAAATAAAAATTTAAAAAAGCTTTTTCTGCAAAAAAAAAAAAGAAATAACACGGTCAGTGTTACTGGGTATCAAAGTTAGAGGGGGAGAGCAGAGTAATAAGGTGAATTAAATCAAGCATATCTTATGCCCAGCAAATATGAAACCTTAACTTTTTTTTCATCACTTTGAGAATTAAATAAATTTAACATAATAGTCATACATATAATGAATTTTGAAGTGGAAAGGTGGAATTTCTATGTCCAATGATTTCAGCATTCTAAGTCAAACACTAAATTGGGAATTTGTACACACATCAAAAATCATAATCAGCAGCTCAGTACAGTGAATAGAGTCAGGAAGACCTGAATTCAATTCCTATCTCTGACACATACTACTTATTAACCTCAATTCTCCAGGCAATCTCTAAGTCTCTAACTTACAGAAAATTATCATTCTGTATTGGTGGATAGGACTTCGACTTCAAGAATTCCCTATATTTATGAAATCACTCAGCTCTCCCAAGAAATCCAGTTATTCAGTGTTAGGCCCACTTATATTTCAAATCTAAAATAGTTTGATTCTTATCTCTGTTCAATTCAAATATTTTGTAAGAATGTACCTTCAATGTTTGAAGGCCCTGGGAGTGATACAAAGTTTACTCATGAAAATAGCCATCTGTTAGAAGTGAGAAGGGCCAGTCAGGTATAATGACTCCTAAATCCTAAATATAACCAAAATAAATGAAATGAAAAGATAGGAAAATATTTGTTACTGTCACTGTGGAGAGTGAAATGGGAAGTCAAGTAGAATTATGGAAATATCCAAGAGTAGAACTGTGGAAGTGTCCAGTGTCCAGTGTCCAATGAATTAGTAGCTGGGGTTAAGCATCAAATTAATATTCAGGTTCAGAATACTTATAACCCATTAGTTTAACAACAATATAAAAGTCATGTTGTAAAGCAGAGATGTCAAACTCAGAAAAACTCCCAGTGCAGTAGGAACCAATGTTAATTTGGAAATGTTCAACAAAATAAAGATACAATACAACCTATATAAATTAATTTGCAATTTTCTAAGTCAATATGCAGCTGGAGGGATCTGTTTCTATTTGAATTTGACACCACAGTCAAAACTCCCATTTAAAGAGAGCTCAGAAGCACAGTCAGCTCTTCATTTCCAAGCTGTACTGCTTGGTTTTGAATCAACCACCACTTGAATATAGGAAAAGCTTGCTTTAATGTGTTGTCTTCCCCCGTTAGATTGTAAGCTCCTTTGAGGATGGGGATCCCCATACCAAAACAAGCTCCGTGAGGCCAAGGACCTCTTTCTTTTTTTTTGTCTCGTGCACTTCCCTTAGTGTCAAGGGCATTACCATCTTCCCAGTTATCCAGGCTCACAAGGTATATGTGCTATTCTAAACCCCTCATTCTCAAACCACATTTTCAATTTGTTGCCAAATGGGGTAGTTTCTACCTTTGCAGATTTCTTTAATGAATTGTCTTCTCTCCTCTAACACAGTCATTACCAGGTCCTCATTACCTCATGCCTGGGCTATAGCCAGGCCCCTTCATGACCTTTCCAGTCTTCTTACACTAATACCTACCACATACTGTATGATCCAGCCTTCTTGCTTTTCCCCACACGAGACACTCCATCTCCCAACTCTGGGTATTTTTTACTGGTTGTCCCGCAAGCCTGGAATGGATCCCCTCCTCTTGGCAGGATTTGAGTATCTGTTTAAATCCTATCTTCTGCAAAAACCTCCTCCAATTTACTCTGTTATATATGTCATATATACATCATTGTTTGCAAGCTGTCTCCTCAAGTAAAGTATGAAGGCTGGGACAGTTTATGACCCTTTTTTTTAAACACTTAGCACTTAGCACATGCCTGGCATATATTGAGGGCTTAACAGCAGCCTGTTGATTTGTCTAGACACATTTTTGTATTTATGGCACCTATAGCACAATGCCTAGCACAGATTAAGCATTTAAATGCTTTTTCGAAGTTAACTGATGGATATAAGCATTAAAGATATTGTTGGAAAAGAGTCTTAAGAGCTGTATTTTCATTTGTGGAATCAACTTTTTTCTGTAGTCAACAAAGAGATGGATCTTGCTTTTTCTGCACCTTTCAGTCAACTGTAAGATTACAAAGATGTGGTCTGCTGTAGAATATAATTTTCAAAAGTTTGTTTCTTTTTTCACATCTACATCAGTGACCCTCTTAATATCTCTTTTAAGGTTCTTTAAGATTTTGTAAAGAGGGGAAAGTAAGCATATAGGTCAATACTTACAGATATTTTCATAATTACCTTTTTTGTCTTTTAAATCTCCTAAATATAACCAAAATAAATGAAACACTTATTCCTCTCTATTATGTTCTTTTAAAATCAAATTGTCTACAACTGCTAGTTAGGTCTGATATCTCTGTAAAGGTGGTCTGGAAATGAAAAATAACTTACTGAAGAATGCCAGCATGAAGATACCATCATTGCCCACTCTAAGCTGATCTGCATCACTGAAGTCATCTCTTGGAGGAAACTCTTCTTCCTGAATTTATGACATGTAAAAGTTAGTATTTCCCATTAAAATCATAGCAAATAGATAATCTTAAATGTAATGGTAACAGTGTAATCAAATATAACCCAAGTCTCCATTAGTTGTTTGTTTTATTAAAAAGCTATGAACTTGAAGGATTTTACTAGTGAAACTATAATTTCCACATTTTAAACTTCAAGAAATTAAATTTAAAAATAACAAAATATAAGACCCATTTGAAAAATAACTATGGCGTTCAACTTAAACAAAAGCTCACAAATGATGAAATTTAAAATTCTAATAACTAATATAATATTATTTTTGTAAAGTATATAGGTAACTATCCCTAACATTTAAAATCAGATTACAAAAAATCATCATGAATTTTTTTAATCTTTAAAAAGGTTAGTTAAACTTTACGGGCCTATACTATGCCAAATTTCAAGTCACTTACAGTTTTTAATGATGCCATTTTTAAAACTTTGTATTCTTGACTAAGTCACCTTACAATATTGTTTCACTTCTTAACTGACAGTTAAGATTTCACAAACAAAAATGCGAAAGATCTTTCAACCTGCATAATAATGTTTCACAGATTTCAATCTTGTAATCTGTAAGACTATTCATGCATTTAATTCAATCTTTAAAATTTAACAATAAAGAACTGTTGTGTGTTTCATTAGAGTCAAATAGCCCAGAGATGGACAATCAATGTAAGTAAATCTAAAAGATAAAATTTTAGAACCTAGAACTTACTTATATACCTACTTGAGTATGAAAGAATTATGTGTACAGTTATAAAACATTAAATGTCTCATAATACAATCAGGATGAATGAGTAGGGAAATAAAGGCTGGACCTGCTGTAGTGATCAAACATAACAAGAGAGACATTATTCTCAATTACCTCTGATAATACTATAACAGTGCTAAGAAGGTATATTTATAATGGTTTTCCCAAGGTTCACAATAGACTCATAAATGATCCATGATAATTTAAAAACTGTTCAGTGTTTGTAGAACTGAAAGCTATACTCTGAGTGTTGGGTTTGCCATAAGAAATATGTCATTCCAACCTACTATAAGAGGTTTCTGCAGCCTATCTCTAAGGTGTTGGCAATGGCTGCTTGCAAATCTAGGATGTTCCCAGCCCCCTCACATATTAAAATTCTTACACAATGGGGTCTACATATATGCAAGCATATGTGTTCATAAGAATTTTCATGTATGTATGTATCCCATGATGCCAACAATAATAGGATGAGTAAGAAACAAGTAAAATCTCTAAGCCTGCAGTAATATGTACAAATAAATGAGGTCACTTTAAGAGAATAAAACAAGGTTTCAGGCTTAAACAGTCTAGCTCTTTATCACTGAAACCAAAAGATAATCCCAAATAGACTAATTTAGAATGATGTTATGCCAACCATGAAATATCTTTTAACAACATTCATTTTCAAAAGTCTATAGCATTCCTAATTGATTGAAGAAATAAATGCGTCTTTACTGTATTGTTAAAAACAAAAGAATTGTCAATATGACATCAAGTAGGATAAAAAAAAATTTAGATAGTTTAAGGAAAACAACAAATAAGATCTGACAGTAGCATAGGGTTAGCACTGAGTCTAGAGTTTATTTCTCAAACAATTCCATTCCTCAAAAAAGGCATTCCTCAGGATCTCTTCTCCTTAGCATGGATTTTAAAACAATTGTGCAGGAAACACTTTTCATTCATGTGCAAATGGAAAGGACAATTTATTTAAGATTCACTAGTATATCATACCACTAACAGGATATCCTATACTTCACATATTATTTATGGTACTTTATAATAGTATTATAAGCTTATCAAAAAACTTTAATAACTTCCTATTTCCTAATTCAACAGGATTAAACTACTCTAGCTAGCTATCAAGATGCCCCATAATCAGAACCTGTATAAAGTAAATCATAATCTCTCTAAGCTTTCAGTTTTCTGATCCTTATAAAGGAAGATAATATTTATGCTAATTACTTAATGGAGTTTTGAGCATCAAATTCCATAATGAATGCAAACTGCTTATGCACAGTATTTCAGTAGCTAAGGGCACAATTTGCTCTCTAAATTTTATACCTTCCTCAGAGCAACATGCATTATCAAAACTTTTTATCTGCCCCAGGGCTGAGTGGTAGTCTGTACATGGTATATGCTTAGTAATTTTTTTAAATTTGTTTTTACCCACGTTATTCCCTTTTACTGATGTTTTTCCATTTCACAAATCTAAATCCTACTTCACTTTCAAGATCAGATTAAGCACTAAAGTGTCTCCAAGCTTTTGCTAACTCCCCCTTAATCTCAATGGCTGCATTATGTCCTATAATCTACAATACTTGCTGCATATATAAATATAATTTAACAACTAATTTACTAACGATTTCCTGTATGTTTGTTGTGGCAAGCACCAAACGACAACACATAAGGAAACTGATTATATTTTAACAGACAAGTTAATAACTAGTTAATGCTATGGTGTTCTTTTCCAAATCAGCTATTTATGGTTATACCACTGACTTTCTAGGACAAAGAAAAAAGCCAACACCATATAAAACTAATGAAAAAAAATCTACCTATTTTTAAAAGCTGTAGATGCAGAAAAATGAGAAATAGATAAAAGAACAAACATCAAAAGATTATCACTAGTTCCTAAAGTATAACTGATATAAATAAACTACCATAATACAGAGAATAAAAAAACCCTAGAAACCTTTTTTTGCCAAGTGCAGCTAAGTTGTAGCTAAGTGAAATATTAGTTAAGAATCTAAACCCATGCATAAAATCCTACAAAACAAGATGTTGGAAGAATATGAACCATATGACCTCATAAAATAGCAAGAAACAAGAAGGAAAAACAAGCTTACAAAAAACTTCCCAAGAGAAGATCTGAGCAGATCATCCTAAAAGGCATTTAAGTTTGAGACTGGCAGGACAATGAACAGATCAAAGATGAAATACAACTGTAAATATTTCTAAAACTCTTCTTTTCCATCAATGACAGCAGAATTACATTTTCACTCAATATCACAGTTCATCATTCATGGGAAAGTAGCTGGACTAGACCAAGTATAAACAGATAAGATCTGTACTACAGAAGACATGATGTTGAGGGTGCTAAGGAATCAAATCTTAAAATATCTGATAGATGAGTAAATACCAAAGGCTTGTAAGAAATCTCAGACATTACTAGTCCTCAGGACATATTGTATAGAGTACTGGGCTTGTTTAAATCCTGTCTCTGACATTTACAAATTGCCATTATTGCCAGTCTTAGTCTCCCCAAATATAAAACTGGAATAATGTTTGTAATACATAAATGTAACAAAGTTGTTGCAGTCATATAACAGCAAGAGATCTAGAAGAAAGTCCCCAAGAGAATGACTTGAGGGGGATTTACATGCGGGCACAGACAGGATTTGGAAAGGAGGAGAACTTGTGGCTAGGATATGATCTGAAATAATAGAAAAAGTACCCACATAGCTGGAATTATGGATCTATCAAATATGATCCTATGTTAATCGTGTCTTAAAGTTTTTTTCAAGGTAGGAACATGCCTTATACAATTTCTGTATTTGTTAGGGGATTTTGCCTACCAAAATGCTAAGCACATATTCAACACATATTGGCTGAAAGGTTAATATTTAACATGGCACATGACATTAATTTAGATAAAGGGTTTTTTTGGTTTGTTTTTTAATGATCCCTACTCACTATAAGTTTACAGCACAACCAGTCAATAACATATGAATAGGCTGAGTTCCAAAATTTGTTTCTGAGAGATTTCAGGAAGTCAAGAATATATCTGCCTATGCAAAATTGTAAATGAGACAGATTCACACAATCACAGGGTTGAATGAGAGATCTCAAAGGTCATCTAATCCAGTCCATAATCTGAACAAGAGTGTCTCTTAAAAAAATCACTGCCTGACAAGTGGGTTGTCCGGTCTCCAACAGCTGACTTTGAATGACAAAAAATCATTACTTCCTGAAACTGTTCGTTCCATCTTTGGATAGCTCTATTAGAAAAGCTTTCTTTATGCTAAGTGTAAATCTGATTCACTGTAATTCTACCCTTCCCACTCCTGCTCTCTTAGGCTAAATGGCCCAAATAATCCTCTTTCATAGTTATCATTATCACTAACAATCTCTTTGATCATCCATTCTAGAATTTTGCAGGGAATCAAAGTCAGACTCACTGGCTTACAACCATAAGACTCCATTCTCTTTCCATTTTTTTGAAAATTGGGACATTTACCCTTTTTTGGTCTTTTGGTACTTCTCAGTTTCACCACTATCTTTCAAATATGGATGACTTAGCAATCACCTCTGCCAGTTCTTTCAGTAACTGGGGATGACATAGTTCATTGAAACTAGGTGATTTGAATTCACCAAGAGCATCTAGGTACTCTATTATGGTCTTCTTACTTATCTTAATTATAAAATCCAAAGAAAAACCAGAGCAAAGTAGGACTATTACCTCAAACATCCTGGCTACAATGTTTCTCTTATAAATTATTAAAATGAAACAAAGCTAGGAGAGATTTATCACTGTTAGATGACTAAGATTTTAAAAAATTCTTGACAAAATAAACATTAGACTGATTTTAACAAGATTACATTTATTCCTATCAAACTTTAAGTCTTATACTTAAGTTTAAAAAAATTAATTTCACAGATGAGAGATGGAGGAGGCACATCTCTGGTTTGTCTGAAAAAAAAAATCTAATGGTTTTATTACAATGCAAGCTCAGTATGAGTCAACAGTGTGTTATGGCAGCCCAATAATTCACTCTTATTCACATCGAAGTATCTGAAGGGTTACTCAAGAATTTAGAATTGTTGTGCTTCAAAGAAAAGCTCCATATATATCAAAATGTTCACTACACTACACTATAAGTCATGGCACATAAATGTTAATAGAATACTACTGTGCTATAAGAAATAATGAATACAAAGAATTCAAAGAAGTGTGGGAAGAC